AGGGTTAATATCCAAAATATATAAGGAACTCATACAAGTTAACAAAAGGAAGACACACAATCCAATTAAAAAATGGGGGAAAAGACCTGATTAGACACTTCTCCAAAATGGATACACTGAAGGCCAAGAGACATATGAAAAATGCTCAAAGTCACTGATCATCAGAGAGATGCAAAATAAAACGACAATGAGGTAATCACCTCACACCTGTCAGAATGGCTACCATCAACAAATCAACAAAGGACAAGTGCTGGTGAGGATGTGGAGAGAAGAGAACCGTAGTGCACTGCTGGTGGGAATGCAGACTGGTGTAGCCACTATGGTAAACAGTATGGAGTTTCCTCAAAAAATTAAAAATGGATCTTCCATTTGACCCAGTGATCCTACTTCTAGGACTATATCCTAAGAAACCAGAAACACCAATCAGAAAGAATGTATGCACCCCTGTGTTCATAGCAGAGCAATTTACAATAGCTAAAATCTGGAAACAGCTCAAGTACCCATTAGTAGATGAGTGGATACAAAAGCTGTGGTACATTTACACCACGGAATACTATGCAGCAGTAAAAAAGGATATCTTACCCTTTGAGACTTGGAGAGTATTTTGCTAAGTGAAATAACACAGTCAGAGAAAGATAAGTATCACATGATCTCACTCATATGTGGAATCTAATGAACAAAATAAGCTGATGAACGAAATAGCTCCAGAGACATAGAAGCATGGAACAGACTGTCCAATCTCAGAGGGAAGGTGGGGGTAGGTGGATGGGAAGAGATTAGCCGAAGAACTTATATGCATATATACATAACCCATGGACATAGAGAATAGAGTGGGGAATGCCTGGGGTGAGGGGAGTGGGGGGAATGCTAGAAAAAGTCAATGGGGAAAAAGGGGCACATATGTAATACTTTTAACAATAAAGGTTTAAAAAGGAAAAAATAGATTAAAAGAGTGCTGATTCGCTTTTGTGCCTCTACAACTTAGATTCTAAATTAACTTCAGCATTTGCTAAAATGCAACAGTTGATTAAATTTTATGGATTTAATACATACCGGGGCTCAAATTATAGTTATACCTGCAAATTCCACTAAGTAAATTAAATTATTATTATTATTATTATTATTATTTTGTTAATCCTCATCCAAGGATATTTTTCTGTTGAGTTTTAGAGAGAATGGAAGGGAGGGGGAGAGACAGAGAGAGAGAGCATTGGTGTGAGAGAGACACATCAATTGGTTGCCTCCTACATGCATCCCAACCAGGGCCAGGGATTGAGCATGCAACTGATTGGAATCAAATTGACTGGAATCAAATCGGGGAGCCTTCAGTCCATAGGCTAACACTCTATCCACTGGGCCAAACTGGCTAGGTAGCCAGTCATTTGTTTTATAGCATGGTGTATAGCATGAGGTCAGAAGGAGCAGTTTCTTGCATTAAATGCCTTGAGCAACATATGGCCATAATAAGTGGACAGAGAGAGAGAGCATTGGTGTGAGAGAGACACAATTTAAACGTTGTATTCCCTGTAATCTTAGGAAAGAGGCTAAATATAGAGAAAAATAGGTATAGCCTTGCGTAAATTTCCCATATTCATGGTACTGATTGCCCTAAAATATCTCATAGCGGGCATAGGTGCTCTAATCTAATGAATAACAAGTTGAAATTAAAGTCAGTCTTTGATACCTACAAGTTGACTTCATATGATGGGATCCCATGGATGCTCAATTAAAATAGTTAATATGACCCAACATAAAGTAGTTATTTGAGAAAACAAGGCCTTCAAGCATTAAAATTTAGTACAGTATATAAAACCTCATTAATAAAGGGGTGATTTTCCTGACTCCCTGTCCATTTGGCAGCCCAAGTTTGCCTGTTCTTAAACCTGGAAAAAAAAAAAAAAATGGTGCTTCTTGGTGGATGACTGCAAGCATAATGTTGTGGCTCCCTTCCCTTAATGCCCCCTATCCAATAGTCAATATTACTAAAATTACTGATTCTATCCAATCAACAACCTGTAAATATCTTCTCTTACAGATTTGGCTAATATGTTGTATTCAGTGATCGTTTCTACAGCCTCACAGCTGCAGTTCGCCTTCACGCCTGAAAGGACCCAATATTCCTTTTCCACGCTCTCTATAGGGCACCCTAAGAGCTCTGCCCTCACGCACAGTCTTTGCAGGGAAGACCTTCACTGCATCCACTTTCCCCAGGGACACAGGTAGAACATTGCATTGAGGACTTCCTCCCCCAAGGAGATTTGCTTGACACACTTAGGGACCCATCCAACATCTATTAGTCTTTTTGGGTTCTGGTGGCAACCTTTTCATTTACAAATTTTACTTCCCAATTGAAAACAACAGGCACTCCTGTTAGTGTCCTCAAAATGGCTTCACTCTTGAGGCTTTGGCAGTCTCCTCTCAGGCCTCCTGGAGCCTCGGGTCCACTTATTATGGCCATATGTTGCTCAAGGCATTTAATGCAAGAAACTGCTCCTTCTGACCTCATGCTATACACCATGCTATAAAACAAATCACTGGCTACCTACTGGGCTTTCCTGAAAACAGAGGCTCTCACAGACCCTGAGCCTGTGATCCTCAATACCCGGACGCCGTTATCTTTGGGCAATGGAAAAGAAATAGCAACCCACAAGCTTGGCAGGTCACCAAGTCCTCCTTAAGACAGGATGGATACAAACTGGGCCCTCTGCATATTCCATGTGCAAGAGGAGATGGTTTCCTGTCCTCAGGCCCTTGCCAGATGTGATGGTATTGCAGGAGTCACTCCTTCCCCAGGCCCCACTGGCTACCTGTGGCCCTTCCTCCATGGCCCTTTCCTTTATTTAAAGAGGGCTATGTCTTGCCTCCCTGTAAATACTTATATATGAGGCTATTTAATAGTGTCTATTCTTATATTTATAAAATGTTGATCTAGCCCCCATCCCTAAGTACATCTATAAGGCAAGATGCCTGGAGGTAGATGGTTCCAATCTAGGCTAACCAAGCAGCTCAACAATATCTTTACGTACCCAAACATTTTTGTCTTTTGTTTTTGTCCTTAGGCTTGTTTCCTCATGGTTGTAAGATGGCTACAATATCACCTTTCCCCAAAACTGTGTCCAAAGACGGGGAAAAGAGGAGTTTCTTCTCGTAAAATCTTTCCCAGAAACCTCTAAATAGACTTCCGTAGATGTGATTAACCAGCATTGGGTCTAGTCATCACCCCCCAAAGATGCCCACATCCTCATCCCCAGAACCTCTGAATATGTGACTGTATATGGCAAAAGAGGCTTGGCAGATGTGAGTGATTAAGGATATGGAGATGGGAAAAATTATCCTCGGTTATCCGGTGGAATCAATGTAATCACACGGGTACTTAGAAAAGCAGAAGGGCTCACGTTCTTTACATGTTGGAGCTGAAACCACAAGTCCACCCTTTTTTAAATGTTTGCACAAATATAATTCAAATGCCATCTCAAGTATGTGGCAAGTCAATAACTCCCTCTAAGTAAAGTTCACATGAGTTTCTGGGAGTGGTGGAAACGCATGAAAGCCACCCAAATGAGAGGCTCTTTACTCAGCGCTTACTAGAGCAAGGAGTCAGTTGCCCTCACAGGCATCTGGCAGATACTCAAAGGCAGGCAGGGGAGTGGGGACATTTTAGAGTGAGAAAGGAAGGATCCACATATGCAGTGGTGGCACTGGGAGACTGAAGGTGAGTTACCTAGAAGCAATTTCCTGTGATTGGATGGGGGAGCATATTTGGCTTGCTCTGGTTGGTCCAGAGGTACAGATGGGGCAAACATAGAGAAGTTGGTAGTCAATGACTGCAGAGGTTGTGGGTCAGAGTTCTATTATCATCTATGGTCTGGCCATTGTCCAATTGTATCTTCAGTCTCTCAGAATTTGCCACTCATCCCCGCTTCCTGTTGCCACAGAATGGCATTTTCCCTTCAGCTCACAGGGCTCCCCAGACGCTGGGGAAGGCACTAGCTGTGAAGTAACACAGAGTCTGGGTACGGAGTTTTAGTTCTCAGCCAGAATCAGTCAGGAGGGAGGAAATCTGGAACTAGTAGCTTGAAAATTTGAAGGAATTTCCAATTAATAAACCCAGGGAGCTGGGTTTTGTCTGCTGCTAATGACTTACTCATTCTAAGTGTGGGGATCACTGTCAACTTCAAGGAAAGACCAAACATAAGGAAGGTAGAAGCATCAGACAATTGCTAATGGAGACCGTCAGTAGCATTAATAGCACAATGGTACATATTATAGAAAACATCTTTCAGCATTCCAGGTTAGCCAGGGCAATCAAAGACACTGCAATAATCTGTGGTGAAAAACCACTGTTAAAGTTCTTAATGCAGTGTTCTTTCCCTAAACCTCACAAGCAGACAGGACACCCTCAGGTATGTATGGATTTGGTAGTTTTCATAATCATAAGCTTGGAGTAGACAAACATTTCCTGAGCAAAATATGCCTACTATGAAGAACACTGGTAAATTGTACTATATTAAAATTAAGCGTTTCTTTTCATCAAATACATCCTCACAACACAATACATTCAACAAAGAACTTGTATCCAGAATAAATATATTTTTCAAAACCACCAAGTTAATAGAATAAAGACAGTCTATCCAATAGAAAATTGGGGAAGCAGTTGAACAGGTATTTCACAAGAGGACACTTAAAGACCAATAAGCATATATGAAAAGTACTCAATCTTGTTAATAATCAGTGTAATAAAACTAAAGCCACACTGAAATACTGCTACATGCCTGCTAGGAAAAAAAGGAAAAGACACCGTTAAGTATAGGCAGAAATACAGGACAATTGGAACTTGGGAGAACTGGCTGGAAGGATCCAGCAAAGCTGAACATATTGTATGTCCTGTGACCCTGAAATTTCACCCCTAGGCAGACATGTGTACCAAAATTCATGTACAAGAATATTTGAAGCAATACCACTAATAATTGTTCGCAAACTGGGAACGAACCAAACATCCATCAGATAAATAATATGTGGTTTATTCATGCAGTGGAATACTATACAGCCATGAGAATGAACCATGAACAAATACATGCAATAAAAGTCTCACGATGTTAATGGGCCAAATACAAAATACATACTATTTGATTCTATTTGTGTAATTTCCCAAACCAGACAAAACTAATCTGTGCTCTTAGAAATTAAGATAGTGGTTCCAGTGGGGAGGTAGTAACTGGAGAGGAGCAGGAGGGGCTTCCAGGGGACTGGTAATATTGTTGATCTGGCTACAGAGTGTTCATGTGTTTCATTTGTGAAAAATCAGTTACACTTCAATAAGAAGCTAAAACGAAGCTGAATGAAATGATTCCTTCTCTTGGCCTCTCCCCTTGGCTACACTCTCAACTCCTGCCAGTTCTCAATGGTGAGGGGAAGAGAGAAGCACCCCTCCCTGACTAGCATACGGACTAACCTAGACCTGCAATGGGTCCGACTGCTGAAGGAGGTCTACCAAATGTGAAATGAAGACTGCCTTCCTGCCTGCTGATCATTCCCTTTCTCCCCTCGTCCCCTAGTGCCTAAATGATCCCCCTGCTCTCTGCCCCAAAGCCTTACTTGGTAGTAAATGTTCCTCTCAGAGAACACTTAAATAAGTTTTGAACAAAAGGATGGAGTGTCCCAATAGTTAACACTTCAAGTTGCAGGATGGATGGGCAAGGAGTCATCTGAGCCTTTTTAACACCCCTGGAGGAATATAACATGCAATTGAAATGCAGGCCTGACTGGGTTTTGTGGGATGTTCCAATCTTGGCTCTGCCTTGGGCAAGTTTGTATCCCCTCTGTGCCTGTTTCCTCATCAAAATAAACTTAGCCCTATCCTTACCGCAGTTTTTATAAGGGCTAAATGAGCTCCATATAAAAGTTAGAAAAGTGACTGACATAAGACAGGTGCTTAATGTTAGCTGACTTTGTCCAAGGTTTGCTGTCCCCAAGGAAGCAGGGCCCAGGAGTTCAGGGAGCAGAGGGCTTTGGGACTGACCCTAAGTCTCTCCAGGCAAACCTGGGCGTCCCACACATGCTCGGTACTGCAGTGAGGAGCAGGCACACATGCTTCATGGCTAAATGGAGCAGAGGAGGAACCGAGGACACAAGGTGGAGGAGGTGGCCTGGCCATCGCCAGCTACATATGTATCTGTAAAAAGCCTACCATTAAATAAGTGTAGCACCCACTGCATCTGTTATCTTCAAGGAACCAGGAATGTTGCTGTCAGAGGGTGGAAAATGAAGAAACTTCGTATGAGATGTGTAGTATTTTATATACTAGCAATTAGGGAGGTGATGACATCATATACCTATGCTTCCTAGCTGACCAAAGGGCCAGTAAATGCCACAAGCGTTTTTGTACTTTATTTATACAGCCCTGGTCCCTGGATCTGGCTTCTATTTAAAAAACCCAGAGAGGGTGGCAGTGACTGGTTCATGATACATCAATGCCTGAGGTAGACAACAAAAAGTCATTTTATCAGCAGTGAAAAATAATGTCCTACTGAATATCCACGAGAATATTCACACTGGCATTTTCTCACACCTACGCAAGCCCAATCTTCATTAGAATACTTGAAGACATATCAAAATAACATAATGGCAATATGCTTATGAAGGCTGAAGAATAAATTCCCAAAAGAGCTAATGGGATTGGAAATCTGAACAGCTGATAGCTGACGCTTTTTCTGCCTCTCCAATGATGATCAACATTGCACCTCGCCTCAAAGCCTGTCTCGCAGTGTAAACATCTTTTCTGATGCCCTATCTATGCTATTAACACAAATGTAGACCGCAATCCTATTTCCTCAATTTCCAAGTTAGGGAGGGGATAAGCCAGGAAACCGTACTGATAATTGTAAGGATTTGTTAACAGAGGTCAAAGTCTCTAAATCAATGCCTTCTCTCCCTTCAGGCAAATTTCTTTGGGAGTTACACCAGAACCAGAGGCTTGGTAGACACAGAAAGAGCAGTTACTACCTCCAGGCTTCTTGCTGTCTGTAGGTTAGGACACCGCCCCTTTGAATGCAGCTGGAATTGCCATTTCTCTCCCTCAACACTATGGCTAGTAATGCCTTTCCTTAAGCATATTATACTCTAGGCCCAAAGAATTCAATTTGAGTATTCTTGGTTATATCATACTCCATGTTCCTAGAGCAGTCCTTCCAATCTCAGGTTGTGTTCTTTCCACAAATGGCTGCTTTCCCCTAATTTCTACTTTCATCTTCAGAGGACAAACTGAATGGCAGGTCTGGGAGTGCCCTGCGGTCATTCCCATGAACCACTTACATCACTGATCTGACAATGAAAAGCCCTATCTTTAATGGAAAATCACCAAATATTTAGACTGCAGGTGTATGTGGTGGGGAGGGGTGGTCCTACCAGCTTTTGCCTTGGTGATGGTGGGCAGGGGCCACCTTTTCCTAATACAAGTGCAGAGAAGGTAATGAGGCCAACTAAGCTCAAGGGAAAGGGCAACTTCCACAACTCCACATCCTCAGGGGTGACGGCGCCTCTCCTGCACACACAGCAGCTCACTCAGACCTGAGCCCTGTGCCATCCATTCCGGATCTCTTCTGCTTCTTTCTACCCACGGCCCTGGACCTTGCTTTTCTCTCTACTTTCTATTACAACAGTTACGCCATCCTTAGGCGATTCTTCCATTCTCCCAAATTATCCATGGAGTGGAAAGAGCAGGAGGAGGCTAAAAGCGGTTTATTATTTGCTTAGACTCAACTAAGACCATTAAATGAACAATGATAGGAAATAATAAAGCTTTCGTTTCTACTGAACTTTCACAATACTCTCTGGTACTTCCTCCAGAACTAAAATAAACCTGGATATGCAATACTAAGAGCTCACCACCTCCCTCTCCTCCGCACCATTACAAAAATCTGAGCTAGCTAGCTAACAGCAGCCACTATAATTGGAAGTACTATTATTTATTTCCCCAAATGACTCATGGCAATCACCACCAAGAGAAAAAGACTTACTTTTTGTAAACTGTTAACAGTTTGGTGATTGACAGATTACTGAAGAAACAGAAATTAGGTAATTCATGTTTCTTGCTAAAAGATTTGCTATTCCAACACCATAAACAATAACATATATAAACAAATTGAGAAATATACTTTTAAAACAAGTACTCAGGATTATTAGATAAATAATGTCTTCTAAACGTGCTTTAAAGAAATTATTTTTGAAAGAATATGCAGTAATTGCTCTGCTTTGTTCAAGTTTTTACTACATCTAAAAATTGCCAAGTTTTCTAAATTGTGATGTGACACTATTTAGGACAACAGTTCACCTAGCTGTCAATTTTGGATGAGCAGTCAAGCAAGAAGCCATGATGATTGTAATGGTTTTGAAATAGCAAATGCAAATTCTGAATGGTGATGAGATGCTGGATGCTACCATGCAAAGTACATTGTAACTGAGGAGTAGATACTGCTGCTTCTTTGTGGGCTGAAAGGAGTAACGGATCTATAGCATGTAACGTGATAACCTAGATCTAACATGGGAGAATGAATCTGAAGTTGGTCAGCTTTTTTTTACAGTCACATCCTACAATTGCAGTTCCATATTTAAATCTGAGGATAATGTGCAATAGGTTTACATGGGAGAGTTTTTATTATATCTTGAGAAAAAAAGATGGCATTTTTGTTCAATGAAGAAAGGTAAATCTAATTATATTCTTGATACCTAGAAACATTAATTGGCAGGAATTTCTTCAGAGAAAGCCCTCCAGATCTAAAGCAGTTCTGTGCTGGCATCCAAAATGTTCTATCCAGTTCCAGAAATGTGTCATATTAGCAAATAAAATAGTTACTATTTGTAACGAAATGTAGTAACTGGCTAAAATTCTAGGTTAATAACTATTATGACCATTTAAAATTTAGTTTATTACTTTAGCGATACCTACTGAATACTTCTTACATTCAATTGTACAGATATGCAATCCATTTAATCTTGAAAAACACTATAAAACTATAGAAATGAGAGAACCCACTTGCAAACTATTACACTCCCTCATCAATTCTACAACTGCAATAAATTTAATACTGTAAATGGACAAAACAAATCAGAGCACTGTGGAAAGAATTCAGCAGCTTCAACAAGTCATACTGTAATTTTTATGAGCTAAGAGAGTAGAGGCAAATGGAATTCTTAGAACATTAAAAATAGATTTTAAAGACAAAGGTCCCAACTTATTCTTATATACACACACAAAAGTTCATCTGTCACAGACAGCAAATATTGAATGTATACACTGGAGTTTCCGGCACCATCCTGTACATTTAAAATAATTAAACAGAAAGTTGACAAATTTATCTAAGGTGGATCATTCAGATCTGTATAAGATGAAATATAGCTGGTTCTGGTGCTCACTGCTGCTTCTCAAATGCAAAAACCAAGTAAATACCTAAAAAGAAAATAAGTAAAGTTACAGTTTGGTTCATCAAATCCTCAGGGAAAACAAAACAATCTCAATCCTATTTATAATTTGGTGAAAATTCTTAGGCCTTCAAGCAGCTTTTAATGAATCATTTAAAAAGCAGATAAGGGATTATATGTGATGTTTATTTGAAAACAAATGTCAGTATATTCAGTGACGACATCACAGCTCCTGAGAAGACCAATTCAAAAGCTTTAAAAATCTCTAAACACAGTTTAAGAAAATTGAAGAATATAAAAGCAAAGAAAATTAAAACTAAAAAAATCTTAGGACTAATTTTTTTTTTATCCAGAGCAGTATATATATATATATATATATATATATATATATAATGAAATTTATTCAGAAAAAAACTAAGAAGAATTATAAGGGATATATAACATGCATGTTAAAATTCCAATAACTAAATTGCTATGATGCAGGGCCTGGTAAGGAAAGTGAGCTAAAGGTTACATGATAATCGATGCTTAAAGATATTAATCTGGCCCCAATAATGATAGTCCTCCATGAATCCAGCCCCAAGGGCACTCTCTCTTAAATAAAATTTCTTACTTTAATGTGTATTCACTCAAAGACATCTAAATGCATCTAAGGTTCTTCATTCTGAACCCCACCTAAGGTTCACACCTATATCTTCTTAATACGATACCAATAGGTTTTATGGTAAGAAAGTATCTGAAAAGATGACAAATCATCAAAACATCACAAGGATGTTCAGGGTGTGTGTTAGGACTTCATTCAACTAGTGATGACAGGCCACATAACTTAGGAGTCTTCACTCCTTTAGTTGACTTTTGAACAAGGAACATATGAAGGATGGCAGCCATGTAACATTCTCCCGATCCTTCAGCTTTTTGCCCTTCCAACCCAGCCTGTATGGATACCAGTCTTTCCAAAACACTACTTTGACTTTAGCCATGCTATATCTGCTCCGTATCTGCTAGTTCCCAATTTGATTTGATTTGATTTTGCGTAATGACAGGTGGAAAGAAAACAGGCAGGATAATCATCAACACTGTAGATTCTTCTAGAGCAGCAGTTCTCAACCTGTGCGTTGCGACCTCTTTGGCGGTCAAAGGACCTTTTCACAGGGGTCGCCTAAGACCATCCTGCATATCAGATATTTACATTACGATTCATAACAGTAGCCACATTACAGTTATGAAGTAGCAACGGAAATAATTTTATGGTTGGGTCACAACATGAGGAACTGTATTTAAAGGGCCAGAAGGTTGAGAACCACTGTTCTAGAGGATAAGGAAGCAAAGTAATCTAAATATTCATCTAAGATTTAGAACAGACCAGCATTACTTAACCTTGCCCAGCACTCCAAGGTTGCAGTGCAATCCTGCCCAACCCACTCCCAAATACCTATATACCTACTGCAACCGCCCTCCCCCTACAGTCCTGTCCTTTCCACCTCAAGAGTCATTTAAAACCACTAAGATACAGTGTCTGATTTCAGAGAAGCAATTGTAACTTTCCTTTCTAACTCAAACATTCTGAAAATCTCACTCATATAAAATGCTTTTTTGGGTAGGCATTTCAATTGGGATTTCAAGAAACAAATCTTGAACCACTTCTAAAAGCAACCCAGCAACAATTCTCTACTTTCCTTTCACATTTCAAGTATCTGTGTAGAAGCAGCAGGCTGGAGTAATAAATGTTTAATGATTAGACCAGTAGGAGTTCAAAATATAACTTCTTACATTTATTAGACTGTGAGACTAGGCAAGATACTTTCCAGCCCACAAAGCCTTCCAGTTTACAATAGTGTGCCTTATCAAAGAGTTGAGTGATCCCGAGAGCTATAACCTGACTGCAATTTGGCCATTGCTCCTTTCGTATTGCTTTTCACATTTCTAACCCATCTTGTCAACTGTCTGGGGCTATCTAATTCATTTATATGCTATCATTAAAGTCTGCAATGAATATAAACATACAGCTATAAGCTACAGCCATCACACCATCAAAGCCTCCGACCAAGTTGTCTGCCCTCACACTGTGCTCTGGGACTGGTAGCGTATCTAAGATAGCTGTGTCATCTCCAGTTTGGGGAAATGAAATGTGCGGGTTTATGCACACATCTCAGGTGTCAAAGAAGATTATGTCTCTATCTCTAGCACAGCTTCAATCCCTTTTCAACTAAGGGCACCAATATTCTGAGACAAGCTCAACATGCCGGCCCTATTTGTCTTCTTTCCTTTTCTTCTCTATCCAATTTAGCAAGTCCTAAGAAAATGTCTTTTCTGTGGGCTTCTATGAGGCCATGGTTTTGAGTATGGAACACTGTGACCTTAGCTAAGTTATTTAACTGCTTTCTCACCTGTGAAAAGTAGATATAATAAACAATAGTCTACTTTAAAGTTGTGAGGATTAACTGAGTTACAACATATGAAAAGCTAAAAATAGTGCCTGGGCACATGTTAAACACTTGCTAATATCAAGTATTATTTTTTTCTCAGGTTTCAGGAGTTTTCATTAAACTTTCTTTCACCTACTTTTCCCATTATAGTAACTTTAGCACTTAAAATTATTTGCCCAGCTAGTGCATTTATTTTGTCTGTTTCTTCCATTAGCTAGTACACTCCTGGAAGGCAGAGATGATAACTTATTTACCTTTTTATTCCTTCCCTAAAGCCCTTTCATAGAACTTTACGTAAGTCAACACTCAATGTTTATCAAATGGATTATCTTTGAGTAGTATTTATGCCTTCAACATAATTACCAAGTGCTTAAATGAACAGTGAAAACTACCTTTTAAGTCCTCAGGGCAACCACATAAGGGTATTACCATTATCCTACCAGTAAGGGAGCTGACTTCCTCAACATCAATTTGCTGAAGAACCTCAAGACTTCACAGATTTGTCAGGTCTCTGACTTCTCTTCCAAAGACAGGTACCTCACCTTACAGTGTCTCCATATCAGGCCTGTTCCCACCCTCTAAAATATTTACTCAGTGCTCCTTCACTAAATGTTCTAGTATCTATTATGCCTTCGCTGTCAACATCAGAGTGGCCAAAATCAAATAAAGTACATGGAAGTGTTCTATAAGCCATAATTTCCGATAGAAAGCTGAGGTAAAGCCATCAAATACAAAGGGCTATGTAGTTAATGAGCAGGCAATGAAAATGTTTAGGAATGCTCATAAAAGTTTATATTAAACAATATTCTGCATATATTTTCTCTTGGCACTAAACAGCTGTGCAAACAGGGAATTGGACATAAATAGGGATTTTGTATAATTAAGTACATATACAACCTAATGTGTCAGAAAAATCCTCAATTTCAGATTTTAATGATCACTTTAAAACAATCTTTGAAAATGTCAGTAAATCTACACTGATGATATACTCACTTGTAGCTTCCCATTCTGATTTACTTAAGGTACCCTAAAATTACAAAAAAAAAAGAAAGAAAGAAAAGAATATTTCAGATTGAATATGGAAGTACAGTTGATCTTTGAACAACACAGGTTTGAACTGAATGGGTCCATGTATATGTAAATTTTTTTCAATAAAACATTTCCTTTTCTCTAGCTTACTTTATATAATACATTTAACATATAAAATATGTGTTAATTAGCTATTTATGTTATCAGTAAGGCTATTAGTTAAATTGGGGGGGGGATATGAAAAGTTATACATGGATTTTCAACTGTGCAAGGGGTCAGTACCGCTGACCCCCATGTTGTTCAAGGGTCAATTCTATATATATGCACTTATTTTTCAATCATGGGCAGAGGTGTCCAAACACCATCTTTGCTATAAATATACAAATTACTATAAATATTACTGTGACCTGACATAAAATAAATTATAACCTTTAACACCACCCTCTCAATACTTCTGCCCTCCTGCCAAATTCTCTAAACCACTACTTCTCAACTGAAGGGTGAATTTGTGTAAAGAGGGTATTTGTGTGTAACTAAAAAAGCATCTAGCTTGTACATTTAACTTGGAAAATAAAAAAAACCAAAATGCCTATCTCAAAACATCAAATAGCCCTAGAAAAAGAAATAAAATTTTTATGTTTTTACAGAGAAATCACCAAATGAAGTACATATCATGCAAAGGAACTAAATTATATTTAAAATAGTTATCAAAATATTAAAAAACATTTTGATATAGTAATGTAATGGCTAACGTGATATAGTAGCAATTCTAGCAATTAATGTAATTTTGAAGAATTGATTAATGTAAACAATATTCTAAGATGCCAGCAGAAATGTGCTATGAAAATATATATAATTTCTATTAATGACAAAGTTACAGATAATACAACTGTGTTACTGTCATGTTCATAATAAGAGAAAATGTAAACTTCATGTAGAAGTCAGTGAAAATGAAAATGTAATTTTTCACCATCTGTTCATGAGCCCTGAATTTTATCTATGGAACACCATGGAATAGTAGAACCTAGGTTAAGATATAATGATATAGCAAGAAAACTCAAACTAAGCCTCTTAACATTTTCCCCATCTTTACTGCTTCATATATAGCACTCCATTCTCAATTCACTGAAGTATGTTTTATTCCACAGTCTATGGTTAAAAAAGTCATGAAAACGTAGGGGAAACAGATTAATGTGAATCTGATTTATAACTCAGTAAACCCACATTCTGTATACCCAGTGGTTCTCAACCTGTGGGCCGTGACCCTTTGGGGGTCGAATGACCCTTTCACAGGAGTCGCCTAAGACCATCGGAAAACACATATATAATTACATATTGTTTTTGTGATTAATCACTATGCTTTAATTATGTTCAATTTATAACAATGAAAATACATCCTGCATATCAGATATTTACATTACGATTCATAACAGTAGCAAAATTACAGTTATGAAGTAGCAACGAAAATAATTTTATGGTTGGGGGTAACCACAACATGAGGAACTGTATTAAAGGGTCGTGGCATTAGGAAGGTTGAGAACCACTGTGTATACCAATGAAATAATTTCCTAAGTTTCCATATGTAGTTATTTTCATTTTTTCAGAAAATATGTTAAAATTTGAAAACTTACCAAAGGTAACCTTACTTGACTATTCTTTATGTACTGTGCTGCATGTTCATAGTCATCTGCCTTTTCAGAAGCAAGTTTGGAATTCTCATTTGCAGGATATGGCTAGGGAAGCAAGTCAAACTCCTTGTTAAAATATCACACTGAAATTTACAATGCAGAATAAACATACTAAATCACTGAAATAAAATAATTAGCACAATAATTCCCAAGTATTACTTCAGGAAGACATACTACATATACTTGTGAAATATATATATCCTATATAATAAAAGGCTAATAAGCAAATCAGCCAAACGGCAGAACAACCAACTGGTATGACATGTACTGACCACCCGGGGGCAGACACTCAACGCAGGAGCTGCCCCCTGGTGGTCAGTGTGCTCCCACAGGGGGAGCGGCACTCAGCCAGAAGCCTCTCCTGCCTCTGCAGGAGCACTAAGGATATCCAACTGACAGCTTAGGCTCGCTCCCCATGGCTCCTGGACTGTGAGAGGGCGCAGGCCGGGCTGAGGAATACCCACCCCCCTCCCCCACGTGCACGAATTTTGTGCACCAGGCCACTAGTATATATCCTATCTAATAAAAGAGAAACATGGTATTTAGCGTACGGCGGCTACCCTTCCCATTGGCTAATCAGCGAGATATGCAAATAAACTGCCAGCCAAGATGGCGGCCGGCAGCCAGGCAGCTTGAAACTAACATGAGGCTTGCTTGCTTCAGTGACAGAGGACTCCAACGTTCCCCGCCTGCCTTGCTGGCCTCTGAGCCTGCAGTTTAAGAAACATTGTAACAAATATAGAAGCTAAACAAAACCCCAGAAACCTGCTTTCAGCTAGCCGGGATCTCAGGGCTGGAGTTGATACAGCTCTGAGAGTTTTGATTATAGAACTGAAACAAACCAGATACCTGCTTTCAGGAGCGGAGGCCTAAGAGCTGGAGCCTCAGAGCTAAAGCTGGCCCAGAATAAAAAAAAAAAAAGAAAAAAAGGAGCAGTTGGGAGCTTCCGTCACCCGCCAGCCTGAAAACAGCCCTCAGCCCCTCACCCAGACTGGCCAGGCACCCCAGTGGGGACCCCCACCCTGAAGGGTGTGTGACCAGCTGCAAACAGCCATCATCCCCTCACCCAGGCTGGCCAGGCACCCCAGTGGGGACCCCCACCCTGAAGGGTGTGTGACCAGCTGCAAACAGCCATCATCCCCTCACCCAGGCTGGCCAGGCACCCCAGTGGGGACCCCCAACCTGAAGGGTGTGTGACCAGCTGCAAACAGCCCTCAGCCCCTCACCCAGGCATCCCAGTGGGGACCCCCACCCTGATCCAGGACACCCTTCAGGGCAAACCAGCCGGCCCCCACACGTGCACCAGGCCTCTATCCTATATAGTAAAAGGGTAATATGCCTCCCGGCACCGGGATCAGCATGACAGGGGGCAGCGCCCAAACCCCCTGATCGCCCTGCGGCTCTGTGTGTGACATGGGGCGGGGCCACAACCTCCCTATCGGCCCTGCTCTGTTCGTGACAGGGGAAGGCGCCCCAACCTCCTGATCAGCCCTGCTCTGTGCCTGATACGGGGGAGCTCCCCAACCCCCTGATCGTCCTGCGGCTCTGTGTGTGACAGGGTGCAGCGCCCCACCCCCCCACCCCCCCACAGGCCCTGCTCTGTGTGACGGGGTAGAGCCATAACCTCCCCATCGGCCCTGCCTTGAGTGTGACAGTGGCGGCGCCCCAACCCCCTGATCGGCCCTGCTCTGTGGGTGATAGAGGGCAGCGCCCCAACCCCCTGATCCACCCTGCTCTGTGTGTGACAGGGGGCGGTGCCCCAACTCCCCTATTGCCCCTACTCTGTGCGTGACAGGGGGGAGCTCCCCAACCCCCTGATGGGCCCTGCTCTGTGCGTGACAGGGGGGAGCTCCCCAACCCCCTGATCGACCCTGCTCTGTGTGTGACAGGGTACGGAGCCCCAACTCCCCTGATGGGCCCTGCTCTGTGCGTTACAGGGGGTGGCGCCACAACCTCCCTATCGACCCTGCCTTGAGTGTGACAGGGGGCGGTGCCCCAACCCCCCAATCGGCCCTACCCTGAGCATGACTGAGGGTGGCATCGCAACCTCCCAATCCGCCCTGCTCTGTGCATGACAGGGGGCGGCGTCCCAACTCCCCAACTGGCCCTGCTCTGAGCCCAACCAGGGGCTGCACATAGGGATTGGGCCTGCCCTCTGCCACCTGGGAGGAGCAGTCCTAAGCCTTAAGCCAGCAGGTCGTTATCTCCCGAGGGGTCCCAGACTGCGAGAGGGCACAGGCCGGGCTGAGGGACCCCCCTGTCCCCCCCAGCCCCCAGTGCACAAATTTTTGTGCACCGGGCCTCTAGTATATATATAAAAAGGGTGGCAGGCAGCAGCCGTTATGGTGAACTTGATCATAATCAGAATATTTGAAGTTGGACTAAACTGTACCATCTAATCACCACCAAGGACCACTTAGCAGCAAACACTTGCAGCTCCCTGACTCAGTCAAAGGCTTTTTCTGTTACAACACAAAGCTGAAGGAAGGTATTATCAAATGAGCTAAATACTAATTTGAGCATTATAGCTATTTAATAGCCACGGAAGGCATGAACAGCAATTAGAAACAATACAAATGAAAAACTCTAGTCAACAGAGAACCCAGTGAGTTTAACAAGATAAGGAAAATAATCTAGCCTCCCAATTATAGGTACTCTCCATATTCTCATAAGCATCTGAAGAAGGGTCATCAAAAAAAGAAAAGGGGTGTGTGTGTGTGTTTTTTTAAGAGTATGCTGGCCAAATATTTATTCAAAGTACCCCAGCACTATTTATAGGGCATTTTATTTTATTTTATTTATTATTTTTTTTTAATATATTTTATTGATTTTTTACAGAGAGGAAGGGAGAGAGATAGAGAGCCAGAAACATCGACGAGAGAGAAACACCGATCAGCCGCCTCCCGCACATCTCCCACTGGGAATATGCCCGCAACCCAGGCACACGCCCCCGACCGGAATCAAACCCGGGACCCTTCAGTCCGCAGGCCGACGCTCCATCCACTGAGCCAAACCGGTTTCGGCATAGGGCATTTTAACTAATTTCTCTTTATACTATGAAAAATAGTGCTTTAGAAATACATGTAAATCAAAACATAAATTACATAGACCCGTCCTTGAGTGTGGCTCTTCCTAAGCCTCAGGAGTACCCTAATTAAGTTAATAACAATGTACCTACCTACACAGTTTAAGTTTAAAAAAATTTGGCTCTCAAAAGAAATTTCAATCGTTGTACTGTTGATATTTGGCTCTGTTGACTAATGAGTTTGCCGACCACTGACATAGACTATTTAATATAACAACTATCTACTCTATAAAAATTATATATTCTTTACCAGCTAGCAAGAAACAATTTTAGACCTAGATCTCCCTGACAAATGTGTAAGAAAATGATCCGGGAATGTCTACTGTGCTATCTTCTCTTTCTTTTCTTTATAAATATCCTACAGTGAGTGGAGGCATTAGAAATTTAACTATTTGTTTGCTGTTTAAAAAGTATTTGGCTTTTTGGACTTCCATATTGTTACCATTAGCAACTATACTCTTGATCGCATCTTAACACAAGATAGAAGAAAATCGTTTGTGGTCACTAAATTCTTTTTTGAACTTTTAACCCCACATTTTATAGTTTCATTGCATCACGAAGCTTCAAAACTTTAATTTGAATGTCTGCCAAACTATTCTGTTGTAAATTTTTTCTTCACCTTACCAGTATAATCAGACTCCTCCATGTGATTATTTGCCTGTCAAACATCTAGTTCAGGGGTGGGCAAACTTTTTGACTCGAGGGCCACAATGGGTTCTTAAACTGGACCGGAGGGCCGGAACAAAAGCATGGATAGAGTGTTTGTGTGAACTAATATAAATTCAAAGTAAACATCATTACATAAAAGGGTACGGTCTTTTTTTTTTTTTTAGTTTTATTCATTTCAAACGGGCCAGATCCGGCCCGAGGGCCGTAGTTTGCCCACGGCTGATCTAGTTTCACTCCCCTATTGATCATTTTCAAAGACCAAATAATATGACTATGAAGTTCCAAAACTGATTTTTTTTTTTCTAAACTTGCTAAAATGTACATATCCTATGAAGTATCTCCTCTCAAAGCAGTTACCTTTCCAGGACTGTTTCCAGGTGAGAAAAAAGAAAAGAGGTGTCAGGACTTTATAACTATAGTTCCTTGGCTTATGTCTTTTCATTCTTCCTTCCATCTGCTACATTGCTCCAGGAGAGCAGAGTAAAGTTGTACTGGTTCTACTGCTGAAACTCTGAAGGCTGATGCCTTTAGGAAAAGACCTTTTATAGCAAACATCAGAAAACAGATCCATTTAAAATCTGACCTGGACAAAGCAATAGCTTCCTGACTGCTCTTTCTGCCTCTGGTTTTAATATTTCTCAAACCATGCTACCCCAGTCATATTCTCATTCTTGTTTGGTCATGTCCTCTCTCACTCAGTCCTTTATAGGCCTGCAAAGTGATTTGGTGAAGAAGTAGAAAAATAACAAAGGACTTTTTCAAACTACATACTATTATTGCTCATTTATGTCCCCAGATAGCCACAGTAATAGGTCATATCCTCAAAGGAAGGAAACTGGAGACCTACCGTGCTAAGAAATACTGAGTTACCAGTACTTCCTCAAACATTTTCTGCTCTCTCATGCTTCTTTGCCTTAACTCTTACAGTCTACTTTTCTTCCCAAAAGGCCCTCTTATATACTCACTACACTTTATTTCTTCATTACTGCAATTCTCACATTGTATTGAATTATTTGCTTGTATGTTTATCTCCTTAATACACCATAAGGTCCTCAAAGAAAGGGGACCATTATCCCATACCTCAGTGTCCAGATGTATTTTTGAAAAAAACCCATTACACAAATCAATTTATTATCCACACGGGAAAAGAAAGTATAAATAACTGATTACTGTACATGCAAACCACCATCAAGTAAGGATGATAGCAGGGGTGGGGAATCTTTTTTCTCCCAAGGGCCATTTAGATATTTATTTCATCATTCATGGGCCATACAAAATTATCAACTTAAAAATTAGCTTGCTATATTTGGTCAAACATTTAATTAACTCACCCCTAATGCCTTAGCAGGGCCAGCCCAAATTATTTCATGGGCCTTATATGGCCTGCATTCCCCGCCCCTGTACTACAGGCATGTATGTATGTAGTGATTTATGCATATAACGTTTTGTAATTTTCTCCTTTTCCTCAAAACTAACAAAAATAAGCCTCTCCTTCTAATATAAAGTAAATACAAACATGCCTAATTCCAAAACAAGAAATATGACCCACAAAGAATATGACATTTTAGTGATTAATAGTTTTAAAAGACAATTTAGGATTTAAAAGTGACACTCCCACTCAAAATCATGGGGGGAGGGGAAGGAATGCAACTACAATAGGAGACTTTTCTTGGAATACACCTAAAAAACTGAAGAAAATCTGAACGTTAATAGCCGTGTGACCCCAAACAAGCTACTTACCATCTCTGAGCCTCAGGCTGCCCATTTAAAAATAGAAAAAGCGGCTGCTTTGCCTACTTCATGCGATAACTGATGATAAGTAAGAGTAGACTTAAAATACTTTTAAAATATTCTAAATTGGATGAACCCTCTAAAGAAGCTTAATGACTGATTAATATGACCACTGATCAATAACAAAAATGCTCCCGACTATGATCAATCCAATTAAAGTGATAAAACACATAAGGAAACCTAATTAATTAATGGCTGTACAATGGGTTTAAAGCTTATATAGACTCCCTTCACTACTGCATTAGGGGGAGCAGAGAGGAATCCAGGGGTTAAAGCAGGTCTCAGGACCAATATAGGCTAAAGATTGAAATCTTGCTAGACAGTCACAAGGAACAAATTATACATGGTATGAACTTGTCTTGGATCCTGGCCAGGAAGGTTTTAAATTACTGATTAACAAAAGGGCATTAGTGTAAAGAAGTGGTTCCCACCTGGGGATGATTTTGAACCCCATAGGATATTAGGCAATGACTGGAGACATTTTTGGCTGTCACAACTGGGCAGGGGTGCTACTGATATCTAGGGATACTGTTGAACACCCTACAGTGCACAGACTAGCCCCTATACCAGGCAATTATCCAGCCAAAATTCCAATAGTCTTGAGGTTGAAAAATCTTATTTTAAAGAATTACTATCTAGAAAATAAACTTTGATGACAGCATCACTCATTCATTCATTCATTTACTGAGCACCTAACCTGGAAAGTTTATGTTCCAAGCTCTGTCCTAGGTGCTGAAGAGTTTAGAGCAGTGATGGCAAACCTTTTGAGCTCGGCATGTCAGCATTTTGAAAAACCCTAACTTAACTCTGGTGCCGTGTCACATATAGAAATTTTTTGATATTTGCAACCATATTAAAACAAAGACTTACATTTTTGATATTTGTTTTATATATTTAAATGCCATTTAACAAAGAAAAATCAACCAAAAAAATAAGTTCATGTGTCACCTCTGACACGCGTGTCATAGGTTCGCCATCACTGGTGTAGTTACTGGTATAAATAATCTCTGTAATATATCAATATTCAGTGTCTACATGGCCTTGAAAGAATCTCAGAAGCAGCCATTGTTTTCAAAATACTTACCTCCAGGGCCTGCATTCGTTTTAACAGCATTTTATTTTCACTGTTCTTAATCTTTTCTTCATAGAATTCCAGAAATGTTTTTTTGTAGACGAGTTTCATATTGTACTTCTTCACCATTCTGTCCAAAAAAATATTACATAATGAAAAGGCTTCTAAAATATTTGTAATTTCTCAACAACTTACTTTCACACAATAGTGACATCTTCTGGACTTAACTAAAAAAACTACCATGTCTCCTTCATATATTCACAATAAAATGATGCAAAATAATGATGCGCAATATACCACTAACCATGTCTATGAAAAAAAATGTCTTCCAAATCTCAATGGGTCATAGGGAGCTCTCTATTAATACAACAAATGGGTCAGGAACCAAAATGAAAGACTGAGCTGGGAATATAGAGCTATAAGGAACACTTCTCTATAGAATCTATTTTATTTACCTTCATTTCTATAAAATCCTCACAACAGTATTGAAAATAGCTGCCAACCTCCTTCTTAAAATATTCTTCCTCTCGGGTTCTATGGCAAGTTGTTGACACTATTAATTTTTATCCCACATCTTGGGTTGCTTCTTTAGTTTGTTTCACAGGTTTCTTTTACCCAGGTTTAGTTGTTGAAGAGTTTGGCCAAGAGCCTTTACTCATTTTCACTCCCCTGATTTTACCCAGCATGCCAACAGCTATCAGCGCTCAGCTCTCTCTTCTGTCCCACGCATTTATTCTACTGCTTACTAGAAATCTCCACCAGGATCTGGCATAGGCATTCTCTAACGTCCCATGTCCAAGGCTGACTCCCACTAGATTCTTTGCCAACCTTTGCCATTTCAGTAAATTTAATGATTCATGCCAGAAATTCTAGGAGTTCTCCATACCATCATCCTCTCTCCATTGCCCACTGTATTCAACATGCCACTACATCCTCTCATCCTATATAATAGAAGCCTAATATGCTAAATGTCCATTCAACCAATCAAAGCATAACATGCTAATGTATGCTAAGGCCGCTCAACCATTCACTATGACGTGCACTGACCACCAGGGGGCAGACACTCCGACTGGTAGGTTAGCTTGCTCCTGGGGTCCAGCCGATCCGGATGGAGTGAGATGGGTGGGACATGCCTTGGAGCCATCCCGTGGTCCCTCCTAGCTGGCCAACCTCCCGAATCTCTCCCCAACCCTGACTGTGCACGGGTGGGATTCCTCGGCCTGGCCTGTGCCCTCTCGCAATGTGGGACCCCTCAGGGGATGTCAGAGAGCTGGTTTCTGCCTGATCCCGCAGGGCAGGTTGAGCGACCCCACTGGTGCACGAATTCGTGCACTGGGCCTCTAGTTAAACTATAAAATGTACTTCAGTGGCTTTCCTTCAGCTTCTTGAACTAGCCAAACTCTCCTTCACTTCAGGTCTTTCATACATATTGTCCCTTGTGCCTGGAAGATTCTTAGCTCCAGTCTTTAACTGGCCAACTCATCCTTTAGATCTTGACGTAAACATCACTTCTTCACAGATGGCTTCCTTAAATCCTCAATTACGTTAGTTCTCCCAGTTATATCTGTGTGTCTGTGTGCCACCCCTGCATTCCTATAGCCCCCTTGCTGCATTTGCCAACGTTTATAACTATGTATCTGTAGACATCATGAGAAAGCCTAGGGATGATTCCAGGCAGCAAGTAAAGGAGAAAAGGAAAAAACAGAAGAAACACCTGGAAAAACCCTAAGGACTTGTGAGGTGAGGGGACAGGATGAAGGGAAACATATGCAGGCCACTGAGATTTGTATGTAAAAGGCATATGTAAGGCAGGATTTCCTGTATTAAATTAGCCCTTCTTGGAAAGACAACGTGAGTAAAGATAAAAATCTTTTATATTCCAGACAGTTCCTTTCTGTTACAAATCTCCCAAGTAAGCTTTTAGAAATAAAACCAAGCTTTATACAAAGCCCAGCCAGTGTGGCTCAGTGATTGTCGGCCCATGCACCTAGAAGTCACCAGTTCAATTCTCGGTCAGGGCACATGCCTGGATTGAGGGCTCATTCCCTAGTACGGGGTGTGCCAGAGGAGGCTGATCAATGTTTCTCTCTCATCAGTGTTTCTCTCTCTCCCTCTCCCTTTCTCCTCTAAAACCAATAAAAACATATTTCAAACAAACAAAAAACAACCCCAAGCTTTACACCTCAGAAATATCATAATTGCAATGAACTGAAACTCAATTTGTACAGGTTTGCCATATGAAAGCTAATTATATTTTTATTCAGTTTCTTAATGAAATGGCAAAAGGGCATCTCAAAAATCCCTGTACATTGTTGGAAATCTGTCTCACAAAATGAATACCCATTTCAACAATTTTTAAAAATTTAGATATTAAAGTGATGACTTGTGACTTTTACATCTATTATCATCAGGTAAATTAAGTAGAAAAGATTGCTAGTGCTTGCTTAGCACTAAAAAAAGTTAACTAAAATCACCATCTTTGTTAATTAAAACATCAGGCTAACATATTAAACATATGAAACAACACATTAAAAATGTGTTTAATTCCTTATATTATGAAGCTGAACAGTACCATTTCCCAAAAGTTAACTAGTTTTAAGAACAAATATGTGATTTAAGTTTTTTAATTTTACAGTTTATATTTATAAGTTGCGCATAGTATTTTTCTCATGTTGTCACAGTCCACCTCCATATATTGTAGAACTCCTGAAAATCTTATACCCATAATTTTACTGTCTGACTGAGATAAAATTCAAATAGTCTCCAACTAAAAGTAAGCAGATAATAAAGCTCTTTTGTTCCCTCAGTTAAAAAAAGACTTTTGTTTTTAAAAAGTAGGAAATAAAATTCAGTCAAGTGGCTTACATATAAGTTGACTCTTCCCCTCTCCCTATCAAGGAAAAGCCTAAGACTAAGGTATCGCATAAGGCCTTGAAGCCTTACCTGATGAAGTCTGGTACCCCAACTTTCCCCGTGTCTATAGGTCCCCAGGACTCCTAGAAATTCAGGTGCATGAGAGAATGCATTCCTGAATCAGGATTTTATTATCAACATTGCCTATGAGACATAGGAGATTTCAGAGCTACAGTGAAATATAAAACGTTTAATATCCTCCCTGTAAAAAGGATCCATTTGATACTGCCAAGTTACTAGTAGTTACTTTTAAAAAAATCTTTTGCTATTTGTAATGTCAAGTATTATTGCCATAAGTTGAAGGTAACAGACTCCCTTTCTTACCTACAAGATAAAATAATTATAGGAATAAAAGAAAGCTAAGTAAGGCTGTAAAAGACCTATGGCATCAACCCTGGATTTAAGGGTGTTTTTTTTTTAAAGCAAGGCTGTATTTTTTCTTTGGGAACCTAGAGGAATGTCTAGAAATACAGATTTCCCTTTCGCCCTTTTTCCTCCCTGAAGGCAAAAAGAGAATAGCAACAGATAAAAGACATTCTTACTCATTTAGTAATGGAAAATAGACCAAGAATTCAGGGACATCCACAACACCTTCCAAGCTGAAGTCATACTTGCAGCCAAATAAAGGATAATCTCCTTTCTTCTGAAATTTCACAGTATATATTTCATTTCCAAATGATTCTGTTTCTGAAGCTTCAAGGCGTCTTCTATATTTTCCCCAAACAAAAGTAAAAAAGATTAAAATTGTTATCAGTTCAGATTTATCCTGATCAGATTATACACATGGAAAAAAAAAGCACCACGATGCAATTTTAAAAAGACAATCGATTAGCTTTTTTTGGTTAATCCTCACCTGGGGATATTTTTTTTCTATTGATTTATTACAGAGAATGGGAAGGAGGGAGAGAGAGAAACATTGATATAAGAGAGACACACTGATCGGTTGCCTCCTGCACGCAACTTGACCATGGCCAGGGAACCCAGTATGCGCCCTTGACCGTTCCACCTACGGGCCAACACTGAACCACACCAGCCAGGGCTGATTAGCTTTTTAACACAATTTCAGCTACTTCAAAGAAGTAATGTACTAGAAGTTCACTAACAATCACACTCATAATAAAATTAGGGTAGAGGGTAAGGTTCATTACCACGAAGGTTAATTCTCTGTGCCTTGGAATCTGATGTGCAGCTTGTCTAGCACTATAACCTTTGTTTGGCTCAATATACGATCAACCTCCAACTTACACATTAAGATGCTTTAGAAGTTCATCTGTAAATCTGTCTTTTGAACTTAAATCTTGAGTATCTACTCAAATAAACTATCAAAATGTTTATCAATTTTAAGATCAACAAGGCATGTTTTATAAAAACTCTCTGGTAAACATTGCTACTTTAAAATAAGCTTAATACTGAGTCTACTGCAAACCACAATATATGTGAAAGTACTTACATCAGTTCAAAGCTATTGGGAGTGGTACCAATAAAATAGCCCCCAGGGCTAAGTCTCTCACAAGCATTTCTAAGCATCATGTCAGCCTGATCATAGGACTCAAATGAGTAATGACAGACAAACTGACAACTGCAGATGTCAAAACGCATTTCTGGGTCACGAAATTTGTCAATCAAAAGTTCCTAAAGCAAATAAAAATGGGTAAATATGTTAAAGTCCAACATAAGATTTTTTTTACCAAAATAATTTCTATAATCAGGGTCCTTAAAAGTAGACATGCCCTCCAACTGAGCTATCCTTTCTTTCATGTATAATGAGGATCATAATGAAATCATATTTTCATTCTTGTTCAGTAGAAATTTGATTCCCATTTTCATAGCAATTTTTAAAAAGTAGGGATTCTGAAATCATATTAAAATGTATCAATCAAATATGACATGTAAAGGAGTTGATCCTTTTATTTGGCTTTATTGAAAATAACACTGAACAATAACTTGGATTAAAAAATTCCCCGAAAAAAAAAAATTTCCCTGAAGCTGGCCTTACAGACATTTAAAAAAAAAATACAGATGTTTTTAAAGGTTTCCAACATTCTAGCAGTATACTACCACTTTTCCTCTCACTTTCAAAACTGCTAACAACACATGTAGGATGATTAAAGATATCTCTAACAGTTTAATGAGCTAACAAGACAAAGAACAAAGTTCAAGATGAGACTTTCACCATTCAAGTGTCTTTGTAGTTGTTAAATTTCATAGCTGTTAAGCAATTCAGAAATAGATAGAAGGTTGAAAAAAAACCACAACAGACTATAATATATTGGGAAACTACCCTCATAAATTACAAAGTGAACAAAGCAATTCAGTTCTATTTCAAAACACTGGAAAATAAATCTTGCCCAAATGAGAAAGCAACAAGTGATTTCAAAAGTTCAAATTATTAAAACCAAAAAATTCTCAGTGGATCATTAAACAAACTGATCATGACAGAATTTCTAGTTAAAATGGAAAATGTGTAGTAAGGTTTTTAATGTTGCAAAATACACTTTTTAAAAAAGCTAATTTTTAAAACAAATCATTTACCCAAATTAAATATATAAAAAAATAAACTGACAAAATTTAAAAAACCTTGTACCTTTGAACAATCAGCAGTTATAAATTCTGCATTGAAAATATATTCATTATCCCGACGATTTTTCATGTCCTCATACCGCTGCTGACACTGTTTGACAGAAACATCAGCAATATCTGGAAGGGGAAGGAGTGTTAGTAACTGTCAACGAAGACGCACAGAGATAAACTACAAAGTAAAGATAGCACAAATCCATACATTAACCCCTACGGATAAACTTCCGCATGAAATCTAGCCATAGTACAAGCAAAAAGTTCCTATTTCCTTCAAAACAAAAGAGAAGTCTTTGTTCCTATTATTTTCAAAAGACATTTAAAAAAATTCTATAATCATTTTTAAATGTTTATTCAAAGTTAAAAGCAGAAACTTGGAGCAAAAGCAATAGTGGATAAAATGGGGGCACCTTATCATGAATACAAGGTAGTGGCACTAAAGGGTATTGCTAATACTTATATTCTTCAGCACTATAAAACTAGCATGAGGGGGAAAGCCAGTTTCATTTAAGAATATCCTTGATAAAGCAGTAAAAATAAATTTTATTAAATCTTGGCTCTTGAATACATCTTTTTAATATTCAATGCAATGAAATAGAAAGTAAAAAAAAATTTCTACTATATAACAAAAGTTTAAACAGGACTGATGTGACTGTGTTGTGAGCTGATTGGCCAATTTTTTCATAGAAAAGTATTTTCACTTGAAAGAACTGCTGACAAAGCAGTTATTCAGACTTGGTAATATATCAGTCATTATCTTGAAAATAAACAAAGTGAGCCTATCACTTCATCAAAAACAATGGGCATATTTTTTACCAATGATAAAATTTGAGCTTTTAAGTGAAAATTACAATCCAGAAAAACTGACATCTACCACCATGAGCTGAGCATCTTGCCATTACTTCTCTGATTGGTGGTGATACTAAACAAATGTGATTTCTTGATGTCAACATAGAGATCTGCATAACTTTAGTGAACATTATTTTTTAAATATTACAAAATTTCATGGGGCTAAACCATTCAAAGTGCAAGATAAATCACTGTAATTAAATGTAACAGACTATGAAAAGTTCATTATTATGGTTTCAGATTCCACACTGTGGATCTTTAAGGAACTTGTCAGGTTTTGATATAATATCAAAGATGAATATCCTATCTGAAAAGGCTATTAAAATACTCCTGCATTTTTCAACTACTTATCAAATAAAATAACAAATCACAACATACTGAATACAGAAACAGGTGTGAGAATCCAGTTGTCTATTATTCCAGACTCTAAAGGAATTTGCAAAAATATTTTTAAAATGCCAGTCTTCTTCTAACCTATTTGGCTCTGTGGATAGAGCATCGGCCTGCGGACTCAAGGGTCCCAGGTTCGATTCCGGTCAAGGGCATGTACCTCAGTTGTGGGCACATCCCCAGTGGGGAGTGTGCAGGAGGCAGCTGATAGGTGTTTCTCTCATCGATGTTTCTAACTGTCTATCCCTCTCCATTCCTCTCCGTAAAAAATCAATAAAATATATTTAAAAATAAAAATAAATGCCAGTCTTCTTACTAAACTTTATTTTTTAATGGTTTAAAAAGATTTTTAAAATTCTGTTTTAATTACTATAATCAATTGATATAGCCACACACACAAAAGCTTTCTGGGGCCCGCAAGCATTTTTAAGTGTACAGTGGTCTTAAAAGCAAAAAATCCAAGAAGTGCCAATTTAGGCAATACTTCATAGGTAGTGCTGTGCACTTCCTATTACTCATCACATTGGGAAGAACATGATGCCTGCTTGTTCTACTTTAGTGTTCAGACTGACCAGTTGGTCCAGGTACTTGATTCATTCAGTTAAGTTCCTTTCAACTTTACCCAATAGCTTTATCATCTGTTTATGATTGTAGCTTAGATCTATTATTTCATCAAGGTAGAAAAATTGTGACTTTCATCATTACTCCTAATTTTTCAATAAATTGACATTTTCCTTTCTGACCATTTGGTTACCTTGAAATACGGTTCATATAGGGTAAGGAAGATAAATACTCATTCTTAATATACAAATTTCAGAATGAGTAAGTTTCGCAGTAACCTCTAAGGGTGAACATTATGTCATTTTAAAAACACCCATCTCATGCATAACCCCCATATAGCCTGAAATAAAATATTTTAGTGTCATTTTGATAATGAGATCCATCTTATTTTCCATTTTCCTGACTGAACACAAATTATTTTTTCCACACCATTATTATCTTACCGGTACAAACTAACTTGTTAATTCTTCCCTTTTTCCATTTGAGCAAATCTCCACCTTTACCACATCCCAGGTCCAAAACAGTAATGTCACGTGTTTTTTTCTGTCGCAACTTTTCTAAAAATTCCCCTAAAACAGAGAAATAAGTCATAATAGATGATCTCCATTTTACTAAAGCATAAATTGTCGGCTTACCACCCCAAAAATATAAGAACTAGTCAAAAAAGTATACATACCTCTAATTTTACTATCATCAGAATTCTTAAAGACTGAAGTAAAAAAATGGGATCTTTCATACCAATCTACCAAATCACATTAAAAGCCAACGAACAGTATCAATAGTTCCCTATATATTAATAGCCAAATGCTTCAAATATCAGTTACAGACATCTTAATACCCGACTGAAGTATTCAGCAATTCTAAAACTTGATACACTACTGCACCCCAAATCTCCTTTTTCTGTCTTTATCACTCTGAGTTTAACACTTTCTATTTAAGGTGTATCATTTTGATTGCTAGCATATTCTGTATAAATGCTTCTGCCTTTCACTGTCCACAGGATCTTAAAGTAATTTCAATAAAAGTACAAGTGTTCCATATTTAACTTACTGCTGTGAATCTTAAGAAACAGCATAAAAATATTGAAAGAATGAAAAACAACAATTATAAAATCTATTTCCATACAGAAAGACTAATGAGAGCAATCATCAAGAAACATTTCAAAGATATCTTCATCACATTCATGAATAGTACTCACCTATTTACTAAGCTATAAACACCAACAAGAAAGAAAGTGAATGACAAAGAATGGATGTTGTGAAGAGAAAGGAAAAAGCCAGAGGGAGCTTTGCATAAATAGACCACAAGATTGCATTAGGACCAGAAAGGCAGGTGCAGATGGCAAAGCATCCACTGAGAGAGTTGCTGGAACAGCTGAAGAAGGAAAATACCATGAATATGCTGAGATAAATTTTTGCTAAGTCTGACCTAAGTCTTTTAATGAATAAATACACAAATAAACTATGAATCACTAAAAACTATTCAATGATAAGTTATCTGCATCATTGGATCTGCAGAAGGAAAGCAAGAGAGAATAAATCAGGACTAAGGTCCAAAGATTACCCTAAAAGTATAAGCTACAAATGACATAATATTAACCTTAAAAATAAAGAGAGAAAAAACTGACACTCAATTACCCTCACTGACAACTGGCAGAGTCAAATAAATAATATTTTTATAATAAAACATGATTAAAAATTAAATAAAAATATCAAAATATGTGAAAAAATGAGCCTCGTTTCCACTCTTAACATTTCTCAGAATGTCTAATTTATCTTTAATTAATCATCAAAGTAAATTATCATCAAACCTAGTAGAAAGTATCCATAATTAGCACTTTTTTCCAGTGTAATCAAGAAAGTATTTTCACTGTTTCTAAGACTGGCTTTAAAAAAACAAAGAAAAACCTTACTGTGAAAAACTTCAAAACACACTGGCTTTTTAAAAACCTAACCTCATGTAATAGTCTAGTTGATGTACTCGATATACAAAGCAATAAATATATCCTGAATCATACTTCCTCAACTGACTTCCATTTTAATTTCAAAGGTGCGTTTCCACAGATAAAATACTGGATCCAAAAAGTTGAATGTCTTTACAATCCTCAATATAAACTTTATTTTCTCCTCAAACATCATACAAGAAACGTAAGTTCAATGGACAATCAACAAACAGGATCTTTACCGACTTATTAAAGACCTCGAAATAAAAAATCATGACACTGCCAATTTCCTTGATTTAACGGAATCTGAATGTTTAATCCAACAACATGTCATTGCTCCAAAACTATTATTACAGTAAAATAGAACAATTACTTAATAGCATTAACTCTAATAATAAAAGGGGCATACTACCTTTTGAAAGACTGGTTAACTTTTCAATTTAATATCTATTAAACACTTACTAATATCTTTATGTAGTCAACAAAAAGTAAATAATCTTTTTATCTCAAAGGCCTATTTTTAGTTTTGGCTCCAGTTTTATAAAGTCCAGGTTTGATAATTAAATGAATAGAAATTAAAGATCTAGCAACTTGATATATGATTAACCATTTAGGGGGGAAAATGAGACATAAGCTGAAATAAAACATTCTAAAGGATAAATAAAAAAACCCAATCACACCAATGAGGATGCTTTTCATCCAATTATTAAAGTTCCTTAAGTAAAAAATGCGACTTTGGCTACGCTTCTCCAAACCAACTTCCTGAAGTTCATTGTAGTGGGCAGCCACTGTTGAGCTGTGTCCTTCTTCTAAGTTCTGAAAATAAGAGAATGGAACAACATTAAGGATTAGAACATGGCAAAAAAAAAAACCTAAAAGAGCATCTGACCTACATAAGGATAAAATACTAATGAAATTGGTAAATTTCATTAAACAACGGCATTAGCCACAGAAATCCCACTAATTATAATCAGATGTAAGCTTGTTTTCCCATTCCCTACTTTTAAAAAAATCTCTAGGTTTAAAATTTACACCTTGATCTTTTGTCTATATAATTTTACTATCAATGTTTTAATAAAACAAATACTCTTCCAATGTTCTAATTTATTCAATTCAATAAATTCCAGTCAGTGGATGGGATTCCTCTAAGAAAATAAAATAGGAATGAGTAATATGTATTATCCCATATAATAAAAGGGTAAATGCAAATTGACCCTGGGGATGGGGGACACACGACCGGTCACTTTCACAGGGGGTGTACTGTTCAGCCAGAAGCCGGCTCATGGCTGGCCAGTGCAGCGGCGGTGGTGGGAGCCTCTCTTGCCTCCATGGTGGCACTAAGGATGTCCGACTAATGGCTTAGGCCTGCTCCCCTAAGGGGTCCTGGGCTTCCAGAAGAATGTCTGACTGCCAGCTTAGGCCCGATCCCCCGGGAAGTGGGCTTAAGCCAGCAGGTGGACATCCCCCAAGGGGTTCCAGACTGCAAGAGGGTGCAGGCTGGGCTGAGGGACCCCCCCCAACCAAGTGCACAGATTTTTGTGCACTGGGCTTCTAGTATAATTATAAAATAGCTGTGACCATTACATGAGGTCATACACAGAAAGGGATTAGAACTCAATAAGTTATGTTCAGTGCCAGTGATTCTTACTATTATTTGTTATTAATCTATTTCAATATTTTCAATTTATGCTCCCTACTTAAGGCCCTGAGCATTCAGCAAAATTCCCATGGCAGGTACAGGACTTCAGATCCCCATACTTCCTGTTCAACCAAAGATTTTTACTTGAGAAAAGGGTTCCACTGCTAGTAAAAGTTTGAAAACTAAGTTTATAATACAAGCTCCTCTCTGTTACAAGTATTCACACTCCACTAATGACAAATGCTTAGCCTATCTAAGCACACTCATCCTCATGGCTGATGGCAGAATTTACTCATTCATTGAAGTTCTCTTTCCCTCCAGATCCAGATTTTGTCTCTGATTCCTTCACAATATGGTATTCCCAGATGAAAATGACTTGATATTCCTTGCTCTATAGTATCCCTGCTAAACATCGGGCTCTTGTGTCCACTTAGCTAAAATTGTATGCAACTACCCAAACAAGAAGTTGAAACAATATAGTTAAAGGAGTTGCGTAAGGAAGAAATGTAAAACTGGGTATAATTTTGAAATGTATCATTTCAAGTGATACTATTTCAGATACAAAAAGAGATGAATACCTAATAAAAAATGAAACAAGGTAAATCACCTGGGCCTCATACTCTTGTCTTTTTTAAATGCTAAGAAAAAGCAAACCGTAAAACTAGCTTTCAAGTTTCTAGTCAAATAAGAGTTCTGGTATCATAAAAATTAGCAGATGATATTAGCATATCTCATTAGCAGAGGTTTCACCTAAATAAAAACAATTAAAATACAAGAATTAAAAGCTTACGCTATCTTAATACAATAAAAAAGAACATTCTGAAGTTCTTTTAAAAACCAGTATTTCACAGCTGTTCCACATTTCAATTTGACATATTCCATTATGAATAAAATAAAATACATTCAACATACTTTCTGCTTTTCATCCTCAAGTTCTCTTTTTCTCTTTTTTGGAGTGCCATCTACAGGAGAAGGTTCATCTTTTGGAAAATCATCAGTTTCCAGTCTTCTTTTCTTTGAAATGCCTTCATCATCACCAGAACCTTTTTCCTCTGGTACAACTTCAGCATCAAGTTTTCTTTTCTTAGATGGAGTGTCTTCTCCACAGCTGTCACTCTCTTTTACAAGATCATCTGCAAACTCCATTTTTCTTTTTTGGGGAGTATCTACTTGCGTAGGAGCCTTTTCAAAAAGCCGAGTCCCAGGAGCAGTTGTGCTTTCATTAGTGCTGAATGAAGACTCTGTTACCGAATTGATTGATGCTTTCTCTTCTTCAAGAGAGATCTTTTCACAATCCTCTGCTTTTGCAGAATTTTCCATTTTTGATTACTTAAATAGATGATAAAACTTCATGAACACTGAAATGGCAAAAATTTGATATTACTTACAATCACTTTAAAATAATTTTAACCAGAAGCTAACCATTCATTTAATTTCAGTGGTCAACTAGGAGTTTCCTAAATCTCATGAAAACAATGTTAATTAATATGTATTAATGTCAATTTATGAATATACTAATGTGGGAGTACTAATTACAATCCCTAAACCCTTTTAGCAATCTTACCCATAAAAGTCACTATTGGCATTAAAACTGACAAATGAAGTGGGGGCATCTAAGTTCTTTTCTATTCTGACCCTTACTCTATCGCCTTGATTCCCAAATTGTATGCTGGGCGCTATAACAAACTCATACAGGCACAGCAGGATATTTTAGAATTTTAAGGGAAGCGTAGTGATATCTGGTATCTGGAAGATATCACAGATTCAGATTTAAGTAGAGCCCAATTTCAGCTGAGCAGATTGCACTATATCCCTTTCAATGACATGATAACTTTGTGAAGCAGATATTTTTGTGGCACTGAAGAAAATCAATTAAACAGGAAATGAAGTTGGTGATGTCAAATCTTATTTCAAGGCTTGAGAAGTTTTACAGAATCCAACAGGTGCATAGATTCTATTAGAAAGGGCTCGTGGTTAACTAAATATTAAACACAAATATTTTTTTAAATAAAGTTGCTGGGACATAAATATTTAAATTATTTTAATGTATATCTTTTTATTGATTTTAGAGAGGAAGGGAGAGGGAGAGATAGAAAGATGAATGATGAGAGAGAATCACTGATCAGCTGCCTCCTGCATGTCCCCCACTGGGGATCAAGTCCACATGTGCCCTTGTCAGAATTGAACCTGAGACCCTTCAGTCCACAGGCCAATGCTCTATTCACTGAGCCAAACCAGCCAGGGTATACTTAAATTCTTTGGACTAAACTACTAATGAGTGGTACTGTTAGGTATTTCTTTTGGCCTGGAGACATTGAAAAAAATACACACACAAAACACACATCAGAGACACTGAGGGCAACAAGAACAAGAAAAGTCTGGGAACATGTAGTTGACTTCTGAAATCCCTTAAAAGTGAAGATAGTGGCTTTGGATAAGAAGTTTCAAGACTCAGCCAGCAACTTAATAACCATTAAGACTCTTTCAAACATTCTTAGGCCTAATGGATCGGGAGGGAAATAAGTGAACTATCTATTGAACAGGAATTGTTATGAAGATCCATTTATCGTCACTTAACAGATTTTCTCAACTCTTACTACAGAAGAGCTCAAGGAAGCACTGTGCGAATTACTGTTCCAGATGCTTTCAGCTTATATATACATACGTAACTCTATTAAAATGTTAGGCTGTATTATTCAAAACAAATGGGAAAGGGAGACCAGAAGTCCAAATCGGGGGCGGGGGGGGGGGGGGGAGATTACCCAAAAGAGTAATTTTAAGAATGACTACTTAAAATGATTATCTCGTAAAACTGGCCTTCAAATGATCAAACCCCTATCATCCCCTCTCTGCAATGTATTTCCTAATAAAGAACAGAAATACTGTAGGTTTTAAATGGAGATAAAACAATGTGACTTATGACCTCTTTAGCTGTAACTAACGCCTGAAATTTATTTTGGGAATAGGTGTGAAGTTTACATGTGCAACTCTACTTCCACAGATGTGATGCCATTAAAACAATCAATGCGGTCAGCATAAATGACAATAAATTCCAAACGATGGCAGAAACAGGTGAGAATTTTTGAAATCGACCGTCAAAGTGTAACAACGAATAGACTCCAAAATGCAAGAGTGCTGCCCTTCAGAATCCTGGAGGACGGGGTTTACGGACGAGTCCACTGATGTGGAGTTGGCGAGGCAAGAAAACGACCAGACGTTCGGACCCGGCTTTCCCAGGCACCTTTACCGCAAGCCGTCCCCGCCCTTTCACTCCACAGAGAACCACCGAGCACAGGGCTGGGACCGCCGGGCTGACGCTCAACTGGGATAAGCTCTCCGTCCCGACCCGCCAGCCAGACCAAGTCAACTCGAGGGCCCAAGAAGTCGCGGCCAGGCGAGAAGGAAATTTTTCGGCCAAGCTCACCCTCTTCCGTCCCTGACGCGGCCTAGCTCTTAAGCCAAGCCTCCGGCTCGGGTTTCGGATTCGCCGGTCAAGGTACACACACGCTGCTTCATATCTGACACTCCCACACTCTCCGCCCAAACCTGCAGAGCGGCCTAAGGCAGCTCCCCGGCCTTCGCGGGACCCGGACTCGCTAGGTCTGGAGGAGCGAGAGCGCCCACCGGCTCCCACAAGTACTGCCCATTTGGCTCCGCGCTGAGGGCACCATAAACCCCTCGCGAAGGGTACCGAAGGCACGAGGCTAAGACAGCGCGAGCTCCAATCGGGAGTCGCAGCGCCCCTTCCACCTTGATGGTGGCGGAAGACCCACAGACAAAGAAAAGAAGGGCCGCAGTCCCAGCCGCACACTCACCCATACAGCCACACACGGTTCTGTTTGCGGAAGCGGCGAGCCGCGCCACGCGTGTGTAGTTACGCCACTTCCGGGGAGGGCGCTGGTCACGTGACGTCGCTCTCGGCCGAGAGTGGAGCGACGCGCGACCTTCGCGCCGAAACTACAAGTCCCGTCGTGCTGCGCGCAGCGGCGTGCTCCGGGACGCGCCGGCGGGTCGAGCAGTCGCGAGCACGTTGCTAGTGGGCGCGGCTGGTGGGGCCAAGGGTGGTGGGAGGCGAGCGTCCACCTGAGCTCGGCGGGTTCCTGCATCCCGACCCACGCTCGGCCGGATCACTCTGTTGAGTGACACCGCTGTGGCCTCGGAGGAGCTGTCGTCCGGCCTGCGCGGCGGGAAGCGGCGGCGGCCTCAACGTCCGAAGAGGTAGCCTGGGCCCAAGACCTTTAAGGGCAACGGGAGGGGTGAAGAGGGCACCTTCAACCCGGTGCGCGTTGGGGAGCAGACCCGGGCGCGAACCCGACCCCTGCCCGGCCCCTCGGGCTGTGGCCGAGGTCCATCTGCGGGGATCCGGACTAGCCCGCCCCACCACCGCCGCGGCCGAAAGAGGTCACCCCCGCCCTTCTCTGTCGGGCCGGTGTCCTTGCACATCTGCCTTTGGGACTGTGTTTTAGCTTTCTGCTTTGTAATTCTGCACCCTCTGCTCTTCCCTTCCTCGGAAGCCCGCCGAGGAGGGGTCTGAGCGCCCCCGCCATCGGAGTTGTCTTGGGCAACATCTTACCTCCTCCCGAGGGATTAGCAGCTCGTTCCCTATCGCCCTATTTGGGAAGTGGCACCAGACCTCCCTCCGGGGAGGCCTTTCCGAGATTCTGGAGAAAGGGCAGCCCACACTTCGTCTAGAGAAAGGCCTCGTAGCGTGGTCGTCTGTGTTGCCTGCACTTTGATATGGGAGGGTTGCGGGAGACAGCACTTTGTTTGTCCATCCGTCCCCGGCTGTGCACTGGAGAGGCGAAGGCACCTACTGTACTGAGACCGGGACGCTCCGTGGTTGAGGGCCTTCAGTCCGAGACGGGGCACAACCGAGCCCGTGGGCTAAGATGATTGACGTGTGGGCATAGGAACTTGATTGTGCCTCGGCACCTCCCCACCTTCGTGGTGTAAGAACGTGAGCACGTTTGCAGTCCATCTTGAATTATACTTTCCCAAAATCAATCCCTTTACAAGCAGCTTTGAAAGCGTGTTTTACTGGGCTGCCGGACTGGTCAGTAAGGGCAGTTATGTTAATGAGTAGACTTCGCTTTGGGGAAGGCAACATTCGCAGCGTGTACTTCCTTTACAGCCCTAGTCACTTCTAAAATGTGGGCGTTATAACCTTTGGGCCCAAGAATGAATGAGGCCTGTTTTTAACCTAAATAATTTTAGGGAAAATTTTCTTATTAGATTAAATGCTTCTTCCTATGTGTTTACACAAACTCCACCATGGATTGATGGTGTGCATGGGATATGTAGAGCTCACGTTTTGTAGTTTTTATAAAGCTCAACTGGAAGTCATGTATATTCCGTTGAGAATAGAAGAACTCTTGAAAGTAGTAATAATGGAGGGAGTAAATGGACCACCAGGTAAAACTGTTTTGAAAGTTACTGCTGGTGTTATTTTTCCCATTATTACATGTATAATATCTGTTTTTCTTGAAATTGAATTAAAATTATAGTAGCTGATATTTTAGTACCTTCTGTGTGACAGCCAGATTAAGTGCTTTACACATTTGAACTCATTCGATTCTTACATAATCCAGTGGGATAGTTATGATTATTTTTGTGTTAGAGATGAAGGTTAAATAACTTGGCCAAGGTTGTGCATTTGGGAGTTAGTGGAACTAGGATTTGGACCAACGTGGTCTAGCTTCAAAGACCAGACTAGGCTAATAATGAAACAGTGCCTGCTTTGAAAGCCAAACTCAGAACTAGAAATTGACTGGCAAACAGTAGATTTTCAGAAAATATTTTGATAATTCTTAATGCTTGATGTTTAATGTTCAGAGAAAAAATAGTTGTATAAGATCCCCCAAGACAGGATCATCATTTTGTTCAGGGATTTGACCTGAGTGTCTCTAATAGTGCCTGCCTCATAGTGGTGCTTGCTAACTGAATGAATGAATTGCCAAGAAAGGTCTTTAAAAAGCAACTTGTTATAAAAGTTCAGACAAATTACTTCACCCGTTTTAAGACTGCTTTATGTGCTGTTTTGATTATTTGGCCACTATTCACCCACTCACACCACCTGGTTTAGATTTCTCCTGGTTTGGATTATATTTTATCAGTGAAAGAAATGAAGTAGCAACTTGTAAATTTTCTGGTCAGAGTAAAGGCAAGCAACTGATGTAGTAGTTACCATTCCGCTTTTTAAGTCATTGGTTCTCAAAGTTAGAACACTCTGACTTGCAATTTTAAAGTGTAATTTCTGGTGTAGAGTCGAAGATCACTTTTTTTTTTTTAATCCTTACCCAAGGATATTTTTTTCCCATTGATTTTTAGAGAGAGAGGAAGGAAGGAGTAAAGAGAGAAAAAGAGAAACATTGATGTGAGAAAGACACATTGATTGGTTGCCTCCTGCACATGATCCAACCAGGCCCAAGATAAAACCTGCAACCTAGGTCCATGCCTTGACAGGACAATAGAACCCACGCCCCTTCCATCAGCACTGACACTCTAACCACTGAGCAACCTACCAGAGCGAAGATCGCATTTTTGAAATATAAACACAGTTTTTAAAATGTAGATACAATGTTGTAGCTTCCTAAGAATGATATTCTTGGAGATAAGAAAGAAAGGTGGTTTATGGAAGGTTTGTTTCTCTAAAAAGTCTTGGAGGAAGGACTATCCCTCCAGTCCACAAAGTGCCCTTACTAAAATTTTACTGCCTTTTGGATCACATAAGATAGTCTTGTTTAAAAGGTTTAAAAGCTGAAAGTAAGATTGGTTGAGAAATCTCTAAGTTTATTATGTTTAGAGATTCATTTTATATGTTAACTAGGCTATAGTACCTAGTTATTTAATCAAACACTAATCTAAGTGTTATTGTGATGGTATTTTGAAGATGTGATTAATATCTAAAATCAATGGACTTTAACTAAAAGAGATTACCCTCAATAATGTGGGTGGGTCTTATCAAATCAATTGAAGGCCTTAATTTCAAACTGAAGTATCTCTAGAAGAAAAAATTCTTAAGATTGCAGTATTGCCTGGCCAGCGGGGCTCAGTGGTTGAGTGTCGACCTAGGAACCAGGAGATCACAGGTTCAATTCTGGGTCAGAGCACATGCCTGTGATGCGGGCTCAGTCCCCAGTAGGGGGCATGCAGGAGGCAGCCAATCAATGATTCTCTGTCATCATTGATGTTTCTATCTCTTTCCCTCTCCCCTCCTCTATGAAATCAATAAAAATATATTTTGAAAAAAAAGTTCTATTATTTTTTGTTAATGATCACTCATTTATTTCAGCCCTTTGTTTTCAAGATGTCTCTATCGAAATAAACCTACGTTTCTAGCCCTAACCGGTTTGGCTCAGTGGATAGAGTGTTGGCCTGCGGACTGAAGAGTCCCAGGTTCGATTCCAGTCAAGGGCATGTACCTTGGTTGTGGGCACATCCCCAGTAGGGAGTGTGCAGGAGGCAACTGATGGATGTTTCTCTCTCATTGATGTTTCTAACTCTATCCCTCTCCCCTCCTCTCTGTAAAAAATCAGTTAAACATATATTTTAAAAAAACAAAAACCTATGTTTCTATGAAAATTGAAGCTTTTGTTTTTTTGCGGCCCACATAAATTTAAACCTTGTTTATTTGGCCCGTGTTGGCCTTTGAGTTGGACATACTTATTCTAGAGGAACAGAATCTTAAGACTGAGTTATCACACTGGCCAGTGTAGCTCAGTTGGTTGAGTGTCCTCCCATGCAGTGAAAGGTCACAGGTGCAATTCCAGGTCAGGGCACATGCCCAGGTTTCGAATTCAATCCCTTGTTGGGTGCCTACGAGAGGCATCCAATCTGTTTCTTTCTCATATCAATGTTTCTCTCCCTCTCTTCCTCTTTCTCTCAAATCAATAAAAACATTAAAAAAGAATAAGTTATCTGTGCAGGTTCGATCCCCACACATACAAGAATCAACCAATGAATGCATAAATAAGTGGAACAAAAATCCATGGGTTTTTTTCTCTCCCCCCCTCCCTGTCTCTAAAATACATTTAAAAATTTGTTTTAAAAGAATGAGTTATCTGAATTGGTTATGGTGTTCTGTAATTGGTTCCCAAATCTGACTAGATTTAAAGGCAGTAATGGCTACCAGTGGTAAAGGGCACTGGTAGTCCAAGGTCTGAGGGGGCAATAGAGATACACAGAATATCACCATTGGATACTCCTACTTAAATACTTACAAAAGACAGTTCTGTCTTTGTTGTTGATAATCCTCACTCCAGGGTATTTTCCCATTGAATTTTAGAGAGAGGGTGAGGGACACAGAGAGAAACATCAATGTGAGAGAGACACACATCAACTAGTTGCCTTCCGCATGAGGGATTGAGCCTGCAACCAGGGTTTGTCCGTGCTCTTGACTGGGAATCAAACCCCCCGGGACCCTTCAGTCCGAGGGCCAATGCTCTATCCACCGAGCAAAAAACGGCCAGGGCAAAGACAGGGTTCTGGATGACATTTTTGTCAACAAGTCTAATGAGACTGACTGGTTGCTCCTAACTGTGTTGGGAAAAGTGGGGGGGGGGGGGGGGGGGGCGGCGGCAGGGAGGATGAGCTCAAGTCTTCAAGTTCCCAGCTCAAGTTCTGCATAATTGACCTGAAAGTTTCTGTGTCCTCTCTAAAGAAACCTTTCTGCCCCCTACCCCCTACTGTTACAGAGCTGAGATTGCTGAAAACCAAACCCAGAGCCTCATCCTGCAAAGTGGCTCAATTATAATACAAAATGAATTCTCAATCGACAATGTGTCTGCTGTTA